CCCGCGGGTTCAGGCAATCCACTCACCTCAGCCTCCCAAAGGTGCGGGATTATAGGCTGAGCCACTGAGCCCGGCTTTTTCAACTTTATATATCTAAAGTCTGGCATAGCCCCCAGCACTTAGAAACTTGGAAGATTTTTATTGTTTTCTTTTTTGAGTCAGAGTCTTACTCTGTCTGTTGCCCAGGCTGGAGTGCAGTGGCATGCCCACAGCCACCACAGCCTCCATGTGCTGGGCTCAGGCGATCCTTCCGTCTCAGCCTTCCGTGTAACTGGAACCACAGGCATGTACCACCACACCAGGCTAATTTTCTGATTTACTGTAAAAATGAGGTCTCGCCAAGTTGCCCAGGCTAGTCTAAAACCCCTGGTCTCAGGCAATACTCTCACCTCGGCCTCCCAAAGTGCTTGGATTACAGGCTTGAGTCACTGCACCTGGTCATAAGATGTTTTTTAAAAGAATGAATGAGGCTGGACGCGATGGCTCAGCCTGTAATCCCAGCATTTTGGGAGACCGAGGCGAGAAGATTGCCTGAGCCCGGGGTTCAAGACCTGCCTGGGCAACTTGGTGAGACCTCGTGTCTACAATAAATCAAAAAATTAGCCAGGCGTGGTGATGCACGCCTGTAGTTCCAGCTACTTGGAAGGCTGAGGCGGAATGATCGCTTAAGCCCAGCAGGTTGAGGCTGCGGTGGCTGGAAGCATGCCACTACTCTCCAGCCTGGGCGAGAGAGAGACTCCGACTCAAAAAAAATAAAATAAAAGAATGAATGAATGAAAGCATGACTAAGATTTCCACACATGGAGATTAGGAGTACAAAAAAGAAAACATTTCAAGTATGGCAGTGTCCCTCTTATCTGCAGAGGGTACTGTCCAAGACCCACAGTAGATTCCTGAAATCACAGAAACTACTAAACCCTAGGTATACAGTACTACATTTTCTCCTATACATACATACCTACGATAAAGTTTATTTCAAAATTAGGCACAGTATTCTTGTGCTTTGGAGCCATTATTAAGTAAAATAAAGGTTACTTTAGGTCAGGTGCAATGGCTCATGCCGGTAATCTCAGCACTTTGGGAGGCCAAGATGGAAGGGTGGCTTGAACCCAGGAGTTTGTGATCAGTCTAGGCAACATAGTGAGACTTGTCCCTACAAAAAAAAAAATTAGCAGGGTGTGGTGGTGCATGCCTATAGTGCCAGCTGCTGAGGAGACTGAGGTGGAAGGATTTTGTGAGTCCAGGCGTTTGAGGCTGCAGTGAGCCATGATCATGCCACTGCACTCCAGCCTGAGTGACAGAGTGAGATTCTGACTCAAAAAAAAAAAGAAAGAAAGATCATGGGATGTTCAAAGACAGATGAAAAGTTCGGGATAGCAAAATGTGTAGGTGGCAGAAGAGAAATGACTAGACGTTTCCATTAGGGGCTGGATTGAGAAAGCTTTGAATGCTAACTTGAATTTTATCTTTTAGCCAATGAGGAGCTATAGGAGTCTTATAAGCAGGGTTGTGGGTTAATTAAATTTGATTTTTTAGAAAGATAGATGCCAAGAGGAGGATGAGTAGAACTGAGAGAGGAAGACCCGCTAAACCCTTGTCATAACTCAGATGGGGAACATTAAGGGTCTGTTCTAAGGCGATGGCAGTATATGTGAAGCTGAGACCATACGCGAGAGAGATTTTTGAAGCACTTTTGTTGACCACTTAGTGTGGGTGATGAAAAAAAAGTATTAGTTAAGGGTGACATTGAAGACGGGTGCAGTGGCTCATGACTGTAACCTTAGCACTTTCAGAGGCAGAGGCGAGAGAATTGCCTGACCCGACAGGTTCGAGACCAGCCTGGGCAACTTGGCAAGACCTCGTCTATACAGTAAAGAAAAATTAGCTGGGCTGGTGGCCGATGCCTGTGGTTCCAGCTACTTGGAAGGCTGAAGTAGAAGGATCACCTGAGCCCAGCAGGTCGAGGCTGCGGTGGCCATGAGCTTGCCACTGCACTCCAGCCTGGGTGACAGAGTGAGACTCCAACTCAACGTCTCCCCCCCCGCAAAAAAAAAATAAAGCCTCCAAAGGATGACATTAATATTTCTACCTTAGGAGGCCAGATAGATGGGTGGTGATGCTAGTCATTATGTTCAGTCGTAAATAAATAGGTGCAGAATAAATATTTGATCAATGAAATTGTTACTATTATGGTGTGAAAAGCATTCCCAGAAGGAGTATAAACACCCAGGATTCTAATTCTAGCTCTGTCATTAACTTGATAGATAATCTTAGGCAAGTAGCTTAACCTCTCTGAATCTCGGTCCTTTCATCTTTATTCATTGTTTCAATTTAATTTAATTTATTTTTTAGAACCAGGGTGTCGATACATTGCTCAGACTGGATTCAAACTCCTGCGCTCAAGCAGTCTTTCTGCCTCAGCCTCCCTAATAACTGGAACTACAGCATGCACCATGACACCCAGCCCTTCATTTTTAACAGCGGTTCTCAAAGTGAGGGCCAGGGACCCCAAGGGTCCCTGAGACTCTTCAGGGATCCACAGGGTCAAACTATTTTCATAGTAATAATTAGAAGACATTATTTGCTTTTTCTATTTTTTTTTTTTTTTGGGGTTGGAGTCTCACTCTCTGTCACCCAGGCTGGAGGTATGTATGTTATAGGTCTGCGCTACCATGCCCAACTAATTTTTTGATTTATTATAGAGATGAGGTCTCGCCAAGTTGCCCAGGCTGTTCTCAAACCCATGGCCTCAGGCAGTCCTCTCACCTCAGCTTCCCAAAGTGCCCTGCCAATCTCATTTTCTTTATGAGTATACCACGTTTTCCAGAAGCTACATAATGTGTGATATTGTGACACTTTAAATGTAGCAGTAGGGGCAGATATAAACAATCCTGTTGGCTTCTGTTAAATCAGACATTAAAGTGAATTGCAAAAATGTAAAACAATGCCTCCCTACATTTTTTTTTTTTTTTGAGTTGGAGTCTCACTCTGTCACCCAGGCTGGAGTGCAGTGGCAAGCTCACAGCTACCGCAGCCTCAACCTGCTAGACTCAGGCAGTTCTTCTGGATCAGCCTTCCAAGTAGCTGGAAACACAGGCATGTGCCACCATGCCCTACTGATTTTTTGATTTATTGTAGAAACTAGATCTTGCCATGTTGCTCAGGCTGGTCTCAAATCCCTGAGCAAAAGTAATCCTCTCACCTTCACCTCCCAAAGTGCTGGGAATACAGGCGTGAGCCATCACATCTAGAAAATTTTTTGTTTTTAGAGGCAGGGTCTCGCTCTGTTGCTGGTCTCCAACTCCAGGACTCGGGCAGTCCTCCCCCTCAGCCTCCCAAGTAGCTGGGATTACAGGTGTGAGACAACTGTTCCCAGCTCTCACAATCATTTTGTTAAATGTCAAGGAGCCCTAAGACCAAAAAGTATGAAAACTACTGATCTATAAAATAGAATAATATCAAGGCTGGGCATGGTAGCTCATGTCTTTAATCCCAACACTTTGGGATGCTGAAGTGGGAGGATTGCTTGAGTCCAGGAGTTCAAGATCAGCCTGGGCAACATAGCAAGACTCTATCTCTATAAAAAAATTAAAAATTAGCCAGATGTGATGGTGCACACCTGTAGTCCCAGCTACTCGGGAGGCTGAGGTGGAAGGTCAAGGGTGTAGTGAGCCATGATTGTGCCACTGCACTCCAGCCTAGACTACAGAGTAAGACTCTGAATCAAAAAAAATAAAAATAAGGCTGGGCGCACTGACTCATACCTATAATCCCAGTACTTTGGGAGGCCAAGATGAGAGGATTCCCTGAGCCCAGGGGTTCGAGACTAGTCTTGGGCGAGACCTAGTCTCTACAATAAATAATTTAAAAAATGGTGGCACATGGTGCCTGTAGTTCCAGCTACTTGGAAAGCTGAGGCGGAAGGATCACCTGAGTCCAGCAGGTTGAGGCTGTGGTGGCCGAGAGCGTGCCACTGCCCTCCAGTCTGGGTGACAGAGTGAGACTCCAACTCAAAAAAATAAATAAATAATAAAATAACCGGGCTCGGTGGCTCAGCCTGTAATCCCGTGCCTTTGGGAGGCTGAGGTGAGTGGATTGCCTGAGCCCGCGGGTTCGAGACCCACCTGGGCAACTTGGTGAGACCTCATCTCTACCATAAATCAAAAAATGAGCCGGGCGTAGTAGCACGCGCCTGTAGTTCCAGCTACTTGGAAGGCTGAGGCCAAAGGATTGCCGGAGCCCAGCAGGTTGAGGCTGTGGTGGCCAGGAGCGGCCACTGCACTCCAGTCTGGGCATCAGAGTGAGATTCCAATTCAAAAAGTAATAATAATAATAATAAAAGCTGGAGCTGCAATGTAAGAGTGATCATTATTGCTGTCATTAATTTTGGTGAATTTTTTTTAAAGATGGAACAGATTAAGCGAGCAAACCGCCTTTATACTAATGACTCCATCTTCCTGAAGAAAACCCTCTACATCCCCATCCTGACAGAGCCCAGAGACCTGTTCAATGGTTTGGATTCTGAAGAAGAGAACGATAGAGAGGACGAGGTACACCCAAGTAAGAAAGAAGTTTGTTCACACTCAGCTGAGAGGAAGAAACAAGAAACAGGTTCACGACGTGCCAATGGTGAAGTCCTCCCCACACCTGGCCAGGAACCCCCCATACCCATCCATGACCTCTCTGCCTCTGATTTCCTTAAGAAGCTTGATACACAGATCAGCCTGTCCAAGAAGGCTGCTGCCCAGAAGCTGAAAAAAGGGGAAAGTGGGTGAGTCTTGAATGGTTTCTTACAAGTTCCTCCATAGACTCCTCTGGTCTTCCTGTCTTCCCTAACCACAAACACAAGTAAGCACAGTGACAGCAGAAACAAGGTGATAGCTTCCCCAGGTGGCCCCAAGACAGTGAGCAGAGCCAATGGCTGCTGGAAAACCGGGTTCTGTGTTCTTACTGGCGTAAACAGTTGACTGTTTTACTGCTCTTATCATCCCTGAAGGAATGTTAGGGTTCAGATTTATCTAGAGGGTACTGAGAGTCTGTCTTAGCACAGCTGGCTCGTGTATTAGGAGAGGAAGATAGCTTCCCACACACCTCTTCACCTGGCCCATTCTCAGGTTCTTCCCTTGATCTGTCACTCTTTCCCCCTTTTCCTCACCTGCAGGGTACCTGGGGAGGATACAGGTCTCCACCTGAGCTCCCCTCGGATGCAGCAACGAGCAGTCCTAGGTCCCGTGCCGCTGACCCGTACCTCTCGGACCCGGACACTTCGGGACCAGGAGGATGAAATCTTCAAACTCTGATGTCCTGTGAACTGACTGAGAGACACAACATGTTGAAGGAACAACCTGAGGGGGAGAGGAGCCTGAGGTGAGGCTCAAGGACATGGCTTCCCAGCCCGCCTCCCTCCACCCCAGCTGTCTTCCCCAGCCTCCTTGTCTGCCAAGAATTCCTTGGCCTGGGAAAGTTTTTTGTTTTCGTTTTTCTTTTTTTTTTTTTTTCTGAGTCAGAGTCTCACTGTCAGCCAGGCTGGAGTGCAGTGGCACACTCACAGCCACCACAGCCTCGACCTGCTGGGCTCAGGTGATCCTTCTGCCTCTGCCTTCCAAGTAGCTGAAACCACAGACACGTGCCACCACGCCTGGCTAATTTTTGGATTTATTGTAGAGACAAGGTCTCACCAAGTTGCCCAGGCTGGTCTTGAACCCCTGGGCTCAGGCAAACCTCTTGCCTCAGCCTCCCAAAGTGCTGGGATTATAGGCATGAACCACCGTGCCTGGCGGCCTGGGGACATTTTATTGGTAAGAGTAGGGGATGAGACTAGACCCTTCCCAGTTCTTGGGCTGAATCTAGAGCCGTCCTTTAGATTCAGAAGGCGCTTTTTACGTCCCCACCGCCTTCCTATCCCTTTCGCATTCCCTGGCTTTAGATCAGGGAAGCAGACACTTCCCCTCAACTTCCTCCTCATCGCCAACTGACTACTGTTACCTAATTTATTTGGTGCTATATTGAAGTAATATTTATTTGCCGTATTTTATTCCTTCCAATCTTAGCTGAAACATGGAATTTCTGTAGCCCCAGGGTGAGGGGAACCCAGGAACAGTGAGCCAGTGACTGCTGGTTCCCACTTCCCCACCTCTTTAGCCAAGCATGTGGTACGGACCCAACATCAGTGGTCTAGCCCCACCACAGAGAATGGCAGCCTTTCCTAGTCTCAGAGCAGAGGATTTGGGCTCAATCTTGACTGACCAATTCCCTATAACTTTTTCCCAACTTTTGGCTCTGAGAAAAAGCAGCACTGCAGGGGCCTGAAGTTTCCACTCCAGCAGTTCACCCTCTGACCTGCTTCCTTGGGCTTTGAAGAGGAAGGATTTGTGGAAGTGTCTTTGTTGCCCCTCCCCCACCAGAGCTTCGCTGCCTTGGTCTTCAGCGCATATTTATTTGCAGTTTGTAGCACTGATCTACGGTACAGGATTTTTTTCTTTTTAAACAGAAGATGTAGGCAAGAGAATCTCAGTAATGCTGGAAATATGCCTCTGTCTCCCTTATGGAAATGGTGAGAGGTGAGATAAGTGGTGTTTATATACCTCTTTTCCTCTGTGATGTTCATAAGGTTTAAGAAGCTGGAGAGATTAAACACTGAGCCCTGTGCATGTTTTAGTAGTTTTATTTCCCCTGTGAGAATCTCCCCTGCTCTGTTCCCTTCCTCCTGCACTCTGGAACAGAGCCTCTGGTTTCTGTCCATGCTCAGTATCTAAGGACCACATTCCCCCCCTTCTGTCTTGAATGTCCCCAAAGGGGTTATATGGGCTGTGCCGCCTTCCCTTGGTTCACAGCGAAGGGGGCTTCCCTGTTTCAGAAGTCCCCAATGGGAGACACAGAGATCCAAGTTTCACTTCATCTTTTTCAGGCAGCTCTGTTTCCTGTCCTAGGGCTGGATTGGGAGAGAGGGCTCACCTCTCAGCACTGCTCCTTGTCCAGCAGTTTGGGGGTGGGGTGGTTTCAGAGTCAAAGCACTCTTGGGAAAGAATGAAGCCTGAAGGCTGAAAAGTGTTAGTGCAGATGAGCAGGTTAGGAAGCCCGTTGTTTTCTCAGTCAACCATTTGCCAAGGTGGAATGTGCTGGGTGCAGGGTTCTCAGAGTTTCCCCTCGTCTAGCAGCTTCCTGAGGCCATCACAGATCTTGCCAAGGTGCTGAGTGAAGCCAGGCCCGTAGAGGGCTGTGAGCAGGCCGGGGTCAGAGAAGTGATCGAACACGTGGCGGATGCGGCCATGTGACTTGGGCGTGAGGTGATGCTCCACCAACTCCAGCAGCATATCCCGGCACTCGGTCAGCAGGCCGACCAGAACAGCAGCCTCAAAGGTGAAGTCCACCTCGCCAAAGCTCAGCGCCGTCATGGCACCCTGCCGCAGCTTCTGGCGAAAGCGGGTAGCCAGAGCCAGCTCACTGGGGCCAAAGGAGCCATTGCGGTGTAACACGGCCACCTTGACGGCCACCTTTATCAGGTCCTTGATTACCCTCTGGGCCTGGGGCCGGCTGTGCGTGTACTCCTTGGACACACGGTAGAGCTCGTCGAGCACCTCACTGCTTGTCTCGTCAATGAAGAGGTGAGCCACAGACCGGCCCGCCATCTTACTCAGTAGTTTCTTCTCTGCTTGCAGTGCCAGACTCTTAGAGCTGAAGGATTCCATGATTCCTGGGGAGTAGGAAATGTGGTCAGTCACTACAAGAAAGGCCACAGGCTTCCTTAGAAAGAGAGAAATGGCTTTTCCCCTTTCTGTTGCTTATTTAGTCTCTGTCTCATCATCATCTTTGTTTGTCACCTTTTCCCCCAGACCCTTCAGTCCTCTGGGCCTTGCTCCTGCTTTTGTCCTTAAGTGCTGTAGGAAATCTTTTTTTCTTTGAGTCATTCTCACTGTCACCCAGATGGAGTGCAGTGGCATACTCACAGCTGCCATAACCTTGACCTGCTGGGCTTCCTTCCACCTCAGCCTTCCAAGTAGCTGGAACTACAGGCACTTGCCATGATGCCCAGCTAATTTTTTTAATTTATTGTAGAGACAAGGTCTTGCCAAATTGCTCAGGCTGGTCTTGAACCCCTAGGCTCAGGCAGTCCTCTCACCTTGGCCTCCCAAAGTGCTGGGATTACAGGTATGAGCCACCACACCCGGGCTTGCTGTAGGAAATCTTTTTTTTTTTTTTTTTTTGAGTCGGAGTCTCTGTTGTCCAGGCTAGGGTGCAGTGTCATGTTCACAGCCACCGCAACCTCGACCTGCTGAATTCAGGCAATCCTTCCACCTCAGCCTTCCAAGTAGCTGGAACTACAGGTGCGTGCCTCCACGCCTGGCTAATTTTTTGATTTATTGTAGAGACGAGGTCTCACCAAGTTGCCCAGGCTAGTCTCGAACCTGTGGGTTTAAGCAATCCTCTTGCCTCCAACTCCCAAAATGTTGGGAATACAGGTGTGAGTCACCGCGCCTGGCTGAAATCTTAATCTCCAAAACAACCCAGAGGAGCCTCCCCTGGCTGGATGAATGTGAGCACACAGGAGGGTAGGCTGCTACAAGTTATCTCTAGGAGAAGTAGGCTTTGGTGCTACAGTGAAGATAACATTTGCCTGGTAGAGAATTCTTACAGCTACCTTTTTTTTTTTTTAGCATCATGGAGTACATGTGAGGATTTGCTACATAAGTATATCGTGCGAAGGCGAGGTTAGGGCTTCTGATGAGCCCTTCCCCCAATGGTGGGGCTGGTATACACTGGGTGGTTTGGTGTCCCTTATCCTCCCTCCATCCCACAGCTACCATTTTTGAACACTGACTGTGTATGAGGTGTAGGTATTACTATCCTTGTTTTACTCCTGAGCAGATTGAAACTTTTGTTAAATAATTTACTGAAGATCAAATGCAACTACTTTTCTGAACCCAAAAGCCCATGGCAGCTAGTGCTCCATGCTGCCTTCAAAGAAGTAAGAAACAGGGCCAGGCATGGTTTGGGAAGCTGAATCAGGAGGGTCGCTTGAGGCCAGGAGTTCAAGATCAGCCTTGGCAACAGAGCAAGCCCCCATCTCTACCAAAAAAAATAGGATTTCAGGAATCCAAGGAATACTAACGTTTATTTATTTATTATTTTTTGAGTTGAAGTCTCGCTCTGTCACCCAGGCTGCAGTGCAGTGGCACGGTCATGGCCACCCCTACCTCAAACTATTGGGCTCAGGCGATCCTTCAACTTTAGCCTTCCAAGTAGCTGCAACTATTGATGAGCACCACCATGCCTGGCTAATTTTTTGATTCATTGTAGAAACGAGGGCTCACCAAGTTGCCCTGGCTGGTCTTGAACCTCTGAGCTCAGGCAATCGTCTCACCTCGGCTTCCCAAAGTGCTGGGATTACAGACGAGCCACAGCGCCCTGCTGAATACTAACGTTTACTGAGAACCTTCTATGTGCCGAGTGTTTTAGGTGTGTCATCTCAGTCTCCCAACCCTCCATCAGGTCGGTATCCTCATTTTGCAACAAGACAACTGAAGCTAAGAGAAATGAACCAATTGGCCATAGGCACTAGTTAATGAAAATGGGCTTCAAACCAAATAATCCAGAAAAAACCCTTTCCCTGGAATGCTCTCAGTTGAGCCTGAAGCGCACTGAGGAAGGCCGAGAAACAGACACCTCAAGAAGGGTAGGCAATGCTCAGGGTCTGGGGTCTTGCTGGACAGAACCAAAGATCCTTTTGGGGGCGAACCAGCTGCCTGTGTCCAGGGTTCTCTCCCCATGGTCTTTGCCTGTGGTTGTTTTGCTTCTTACTTCCCCCTCCCCTGCTCTGCAGGATGTGGCTGCAACCGCAGTGAGGAACAGCCTCACCCTCTCCCCCAAACCAAAATGGGAGTCGGAAGAGTCAGGGGAGATGGGTACTTGGGGGGTTCTTTGCCAACTGAATCATCCAGGGGGAACCTGGAGCCTTGCTCGGCTCCCAGCTGTGCTGGGGTTTTCTGGACCATGCTCCCCAGCCGGAAGAGGAGATTGCTCCATGCGAGCCTTCCTTCCTCCTTGGCCTTCCTGTTACCAGCTCTCCATTGCCCCCATGGCCATTTCACATTGGCTCCGCCGCCCTCTCTGTGTCTCTGTTTCTGTCTCCCTTTTTCTGGTGTCTGCATTTTCCCCGTGATCCCCTGGCCTGGCCGAGCTCTCCCTCTGGCCTTCACCCATCCACCTGCGTGTCTCCTAAGACCTCCCCACGTTGTTCATCACACACCCGTACCCACCCCCCCAGCCTTTCGTCTGCCCCTACCCCCATCCCAAACCAGGTCTTTCTTTCAGAGCTGCTTTGCCTTGGGGAAAACCACGCTCCACTGGGGACCTAAGAATTGCACAAGTGAGAGTTTCACTACATGGAAAGCTAAGGCTGAAAGAGCTGGGAACTCCCGCCACCATTCCCCCTAAAGCCTACCCTTCTGTCACTGCCGGTGCCTCACCTGCTGTGCTGGGTACCAGCCTTGCTTGCCTTGGATGTTCCCGGAAAGCTGGCAGAATGGAGAAGCTCCACTTAGAGTGCGAGGCCCTTGGACTTGGCCCCGCCCCTTGAGCCCCGCCCACCTACTCTCGGCTCAACCTCCGGTTCATCACCACTGCCATCAAAGCCTATGGCCCAAGAGCACCCTAGAAATAAGACAAAGGTAAAAAAAAAAAAAAAAAAAAAAAAAAAGGATTCCGTGGGAAACAGTCTTAATTCTTTGAGGTGGGAAAGAGGGATTCGTACATCCCCTCTCTCAAATGAGTTTCTTTTCTTGAGATCCTGTCCTTGGGTTTCTGGGGCTGGGGAGGATGTCAAGGCCAGGTTGCTGGGGTGTGGTCGGTGGCTAAGGTTCTGAAGAGTGAAGGGCGGTACCGTGGGGCAACGGTCCCACAAGCATACTCTTCCAGCGCCTGACAGGTAAAGGCACAGACTGCCTTCGCCCCTAATCCGGGAGAGAGGAAGGAGCCGGGGCCTGGGCTGCAGAGCCGTACGTGACCACCAGGTGTCAGCACAGCACTGACCCAGTAGAGGACTAAGCCCCTGAGCTCTGCAGCACTGGGGACACAAAAATGAGGGGAAGTCACAGTTGTTGAACGAGGCTAAAATATTTACCATCAAGAATCTTACAAGCTGGTCAGGGAGATCGGCTGAGGCATGGATAACTGTAATACAAGTCAAACAATGCCATTAACCTTAAGAGAGGTTTAAAGAATTACTAGAGTAAAGAAGCTTAGACTAATTCTGATAGGGCTGAAGAGGCAGGTTTAGAAGGAAGGATTCAACTATTTAATATCCAAGATGGGGAAGTGCTTCCCAGATAATGGGCGGCATAAGAACGTGGGGAATAAACATGGCACAGGGCATCCTCAGGAAGCAGGAATTTATTTTGTGTGTTTGGCGCACAGGTTGTTTGAGAAGGAAAAAGACCAGATAATGACAGGCTTTAAAGAAATTGCTGGGCCGAGCACAGTGGCTCACGCCTATAATTACAGCACTTTGGGAGGCTGAGGTGAGAGGATTTCCTGAGCCCAGGGTTTGAGACCAGCCTGGGCAACTTGGCAAGACCTTGTCTCTACAATAAATAATTAGCCAGGCCTGACGATGTGTGCCTGTAGTTCCAGTTATTTGATCGTGCCACTGCATTCCAGCCTGGGCAACAGAGTGAGACTCCGACTCAAAAATAAAAGAAATAAATTGCTCCGCTGGGCACAGTAGCTCAAGCCTGTAATCCCAGCACTTTTATTTTGTATTTTGAGCCCAGGGATTCAAGACCAGTCTGGACAATTTGGCAAGACTTCGTCTCTACAATTAAAAAAATTAGCCAGGTGTGGTAGCGTGCATATATAGTCCCAGTTACTTGGAAGGCTGAGGCTAAATGATTACCTGAGCCCAGCCAGTTGAGGCTGTGGTGGCCGTGAGAGTGCCATTGCACTCCCAGTCCGGGCAACACAGTGAGACTCCAAATAAAATAAAATAAAAATTGCTCAGTCTCAGGAGGTCAAGGCTGCAGTGAGTCATGAGTATGCCACTGTACACTAGCCTGAGCAACAGAGTGAAACCCTGTCTCTACTAAAAAAATGTATACATCTATACTTTTCTTTTTTCTTTTTCTTTTTTTTTTTGAGTTGAAGTCTCACTTTGTCTCACCCAGGTTGGAGTGCAGTGGCACACTCACAGTCACCGCAGCCTTGACCTGCTGGGCTCAGGCGATCCTTCCACCTCAGCCTTCCCTTCCACCTCAGCCTTCCCTTCCACCTCAGCCTTCCCTTCCACCTCAGCCTTCCAAGTAGCTGAAACTATAGGTGCATACCATCACGCCCAGCTAATTTTTTAATTTGTTGTAGAAATGAGGTCTCAGCAAGTTGCCGAGGCTGGTTTCAAACCCCTGGATTCAGGCAATCCTCTCAGCTCCACCTCCCAAAGTGTTAGGATTATAGGCATGAGTCACCATGCCCAGCCCAGACCTTTTCTATAGGCAGTGGGGAGATATTAAAAGTGCTTGATCAGCCGGGCTCGGTGGCTCAGTCTGTAATCCCGTGCCTTTGGGAGGCTGAGGTGAGTGGATTGCCTGAGCCCGCAGGTTCGAGACCCGCCTGGGCAGCGAGACCTCCTCTCTACAATAAATCAAAAAATCAGCCGGGTGTGGTAGCACATACCTGTAATTCTGGCTACTCGGAAGACTGACGCGGAAGGATCGCCGGAGCCCGGCAGGTCGAGGCTGCGGTGGCCGGGAGCGGCCACTGCACTCCAGTCTGGGCAACAGAGTGAGACTCCAACTCAAAAAACAAACAAACAAAAGTGCTTGATCAGGGGAGTGAAATAATTAGCTCAGTGGGAACATTTTAGATGCTTCAGTAAACTTTTAGGCTTGGCACAGTGGCTCATAGTTATAATCCCAGCACTTCGGGATGCTGAAGTAGAAGGATTGCTTGAGCCCGGGAGTTTGAGACCCGCCTGGACAACATAGCAAGACTCCATTTCTACAAAAAATATGTGTTTTTAATTAGCCAGATATGGTGCAAGCCTGTAGTTTGGCTTGAGAGACTGAGATGGGAAGACTGAGCCCAAAATTTGAAGCTGTAAAGAGCTATGATTGTGCCACTGCCCTCCAGCCTGGGCATTGGAGTGAAACCCCTATATTAAAAGAGGAAAAAAAGTTTATTTTTTTTTAGCTGAGGAAAAGAGGTTTTTTTTGTTTTTTGTTTTGTTTTGTTTTTTTTGAGTTGGAGTCTTACTCTGTCGCCCAGGCTGGAGGGTAGTGGCATGCTCACCTGCTGGGCTCCAGCACTCCTTCCGCCTCAGCCTTTCAAGTAGCCGGAACTACAGGCACATGCTGGCTAATTTTTTATGTATTGTAGAGACGAGGCTAATTTTTGATTTATTGTAGAGAAGAAGTCTCGACAAGTTGCCCGGGGTTGGTCTCAAACTCACAGGCTCAGACAATCCACTTGCCTCAGCCTCCCAAAGTGCTGGGATTACAGGCTGAGCCACCGAGCCCATCCAGAAAAGGAATTCTTGAAGGAATTGCTCAGGAGAATAGCTTGCTGAATCATAAGATGAGAACCCATGAGAGATCTTGGCGATTTGATGATTTTACAAGAAAATGTTCTAGAAGAAGGGAAAGCATTGGAAAGTTGGTTGGTTGTACAAAGTTGAAGAGTAGATTAAAGTTCAGAAGTAGTCAGCATCCCACTGACTCCAGGAAGATTGGGTTTCTTCCTGAGACAAGGCTGGGTCTTGGTTCCTTGGTTATTACCATGTCTTTCTTCATCACTCCCAAGGTCTAGAGCTGAGGGTTCTTGATACAACTTGGATTAGGAGATGCTGATAACTCTTTTAAGGAGTTTGGTAGCAAAGAGATGAAAAGAAATGGAAAGCTTAAGGCGAATAGCCGGATTGAGAGAGGGAAGGAGCCATTTTTATCTTGTAGTTGAGTATATTAATAGGTTGAGAAGAGCCAGTAGAGAGGGAGGCTTAGAAAATACAAAGAAAAAGTGGTACTTATGGAGTCAGGTGTGGGGGCAGATGGAAAAGAATGGATTAAGAGTTCAGGGGACATAGCCAGACGCAGTGGCTCATGCCTGTAATCCCAGCACTTTGGGAGACGGAGGTAAGAGGATTGCCTGAGCCCAGGGGTTCGAGACTAGCCTGGGCACAGAGTGAGACTCTGGCTCAAAAAAGTTCAGGGGAGGGAAGTGAGAGGTATAAAAGCGGAGCTAACATTCATTGGGTGTACTCTGCTAGATGTTATGTAAACATCTCTAATTCTCACAATACACTTATGAATGAAATGTCACTATATCCCTTTTGCTGATGGAAAAAAATGGAAGCTTAAAGAGGTTAAATAAGCTGTCCCAAAGTTACAGCACTAGCACATGGCAACATGAGGGCGGGGCCATGTGGGATTCTCGAGGCTGTGTTTTTTCTGATAATTACCTTACAAGGTTATGGGGCGATAATATCAATCTCATAATAGATGTGGCAGCTTTCTGCTTCTGTCTGCTCGAGCAATGCACTGATCACACACTCTGGGGACAAGACTAGGAGGCACTACCAAAGTCTCAGGAAAAGGAAGAGTCCTTTTTGTAAGAAATGTATAATCTAGTTGGAAAATAAGGGGAATAACTTCTGAATCCACAGTTCTGTGGCTGTCTTTTTTTTTTTTTTTTTGAGTTGGAGTCTCTCTGTTGCCCAGGCTGGAGTGCAGTGGCACGCTGATGGCCACCACAGCCTGGACCTGCTGGGCTCAGGCAATCCTTCTGCCTCAGCCTTCCAAGTAGCCGGAACTACAGGTGTGCACTACCACGCCCAGCTAATTTTTAAAAATTTATTTATTGTAGAGATGAGGTCTTGTCAAGTTGCCCGGGCTGGTCTCGAATCCACGGGCTCAGGTAATCCACTTGTCTCGGCCTTCCAAAGTGCTGGGATTACAGGCTAACCACTGAGCCTAGCTGAAGCAAACAGTATTAACTATACCTATACTAAGTTTTGGGGTCCTCACTGTTTTCCTGGATAATTAATTTCACAGTGCTGCCTCTGAGTAAAAAAAATGGCTAAGTGATGATATTGTGAATGTATGAAACACTTGAGTTTACAAAACATTTCGCCTATGTTATCTTATTTGATCCTGTGAGGCAGGCAGGTAGATAATATGTTCATTCACAGATGATAGACTCAGCCTTAGAGATAAGTGGTGAATCTAGCTAGGTCTTACTCACTCCACATGGTACTCTATGTAATTAATGTAATTAACAATGCCTTTTGAATAATGTCTATTTGAAACAGAATGAAATGTTTTGCACTTAATTGGATAACTTCAGTTATTTGGAAAAACATTCAGAATGGAGCAGTGCTGTTTGGTTTAGCTGAGGTTTTACCATGGTTAGAATCAGTGCTTTCATATCAGATCAGGAAAGGAAAGTTCAGTATGGTTTAAAGCAGTCAAGCAAGACATCAGCCTGACATAGCTAGAGATAGTTCATAGCTTTTAATCTTTTTTTTTTTGCTTTTAATCTTTGATATATTTATTTCTTCCTCTACTTACTATATGCC